CAAGGTTCTTAAAATAGCCTATGGAGTCTTACATGGCCTGATGATGCTTTCTGCTCTCTGCCAACTCTCCCTAAGTCTACTCCACAGCAGCCAGACTCCCGGCTGGGACCTTGAAAATGGCTGCATGCTTCCTTTTGGAGTGCTCATTTGTCAAGGCTTCTCAAATGTTCAACTCCTTCCCTGCAATCAAATACTGCTGGCTTCCATGTTCAACCTCACTAACCATCCTATCTACAATGACACAATTCTCCCCTTGTATTCTTTTTCTCTCTCATTGTGTTTTTCTCCATACCATAGGCTGCCCTTTCTCCTTCTACACTTCTTCATTTTTCTCTGGTGTTTCTCTCTTTGTGTCTCTCCTCTTAGATGGTATATTAGATGGTAAGTTAGATTAGAGCAGAGTTTGTGCTCTTTGGAGTATCTTTCCATCCCTAGCACCTAAGACAATGCTCTTCACACAGTAAACAGAGATACATGTCTGAAAAAATTGATGAACAAATGCTGCATCTGAGATCAGATTGACAGAAAAGAATGGTGTGTTTTTAGTATGTGAAATTAGTTAGGCAGTACTGCAACCCCTCTCCTTTGTTCAGAAGAAAGAGTGCTCAGGAGAATTCCCCAAAAATAAAATTCTCTGTTCCAATCTCAACCACTACACACAGTACCTAAGAAGACCACCCAGAAATCCATAGTTTGAGGTTATTCTAGCATCTTTCAGATGAAAGAGTCACACTCCAAACACCTTCAGAATGCAGTAGACTGTACCTCTTCTCTGGAGTTGCAAATAACAATCCCAACTTTACAGAGCTACAGACAATGCAATTAGGAAAGTCTCCTGGAATTGATTTACCCTGAATAACTCTCCATGTTGAAATTCACAATTCTAAGTATATGAGCCAAAAATTATCCAGTTCTAACTTGGACCAGTGCTGGCCAGTATATGGAAAGAACTAAAAAAAAAATCACAAGATGGTATTGAATCCAAGAGCAAAAGGCACACAATCCAGAGCCATCCACATAAAAGGAGCATAACATAGGTTCCTCTCAATGGGAGGTCAATTACAAACCCAGAGCCATTAAATATTTTATTTGTGCATGTATCTGTGCTCTAATCAACTGATTTGGAAGCTGTTTATAGCTCATCCCATCCCCAATAATCTCAAGAATTAAATTCTTTTTTATTCATGTTTGTAGCCTTTTTAAGATCCCAGGCTAATAAAATTGGTTTTGGAATTTTTCAACCAAAGTCCAATCCGGATGGATCCAAATGTCATTTATGTAAAAAATTTTAGTTTCAGAAAAAGAATTAGTTCAATGCAACATATATTTAATAGTAACTGTTACCAAAGTCCTTCTAAACAAAATCTTTTCTATTTGATGGTACTAGAAATCCATTTCACATTCTGTCTGGCCTCAGAAAATTGGTATTATTTTTGCTAATGCTTAGGTTAAGAATCAGGATTAAGAGATTACATTATGAATATTTACTGAGTGCCTGTTCTGCTAGGAATTGTGCAAATGTTTTATTCAGTTGTCCTAAAGGCACTCACTTCACCATGGTTCTGACCACAATCGCAGAAGTTAATTGCCCAGGATCTCTGAGATAGAGAAAATTAGAATTCGGATTCCAGCATCCACATTTTTAACATGACTTCCAAGACTGTTCTATGTCCCAGTCACACTATGTTGGTGTATGTCAAAGTCATTGAAGATGGACTTTCTTGTTGCTAAAGGCTTGCTATTTTCACAGTATTCGTATTGCTTTAAAATTGGTGTTTTTGACATTGCCTTTTGGTTTTGTGAAAGAAAACATAAGCATTAACTATAATTGTATGTCTTTACCACTTTAATGGTAAAAGGTCAAAGCTCACACCTGTAATCTTAGCTATATAGGAAACTGAGATCTGAGGATCATCACTTGAAGACAGCTTTTATTTTTTTTTGGGGGGGGGGAGTCCATGAGACCTTTATTTCCAATTAATCAGCAAAAAAACAGAAGTAGGGTGTGTGCTCTACTGAGCACTATCCTTGAACAAAATAAGGAAGAAAAAGAACTAAGGGACAGCGTCCAAGCTCCCTGAGTTCAAACCCCCACACTCACACACACACACACACACACACAGAGAGAGAGAGAGAGAGAGAGAGAGAGAGAGAGAAGTAATTGTGAGACACTGTTGTCATACCTAGGATTACACCCACCAATAACTATTAGTTACAACTCTTTATTTTTAAGTCATTAAGTGGAAAGAGTAAATTCTACACATGATAAAATACCTGAAACATCTGGGGCTTTTTAACTCTGTGTGTGTGTGTACATGTATACATTTGTGCACATACTGGTACTAAACCTTGAACCAAGGGCTTCATGAGCTCCTTTAGATTGTATTATTGGTGTCAGCCACTAGCACCCTTTTATACTGGCTATAAAGTTCTATGAAAATGTCACTGTTTATTTTAAATGTCTGGATGTTAACTGTGTTTATAACAGCATTAGATCATGTGCAATAAATAAATAAGAAAATTTATGAGTTTCAGAAACAGAGCCAGCATTTTTTCCTTTCAAAACATAGAACTACTAGGGTACATATATTGCTCACCTAATACTTTAAAAAATAGAAGTTAATGCTTATATATATAATCATTAGGAAAAGGAAAGCTTTGAAGATTTTTTAGATATTTTCTTGTGTCAAGGTTGTGATTTTTTTCATGCTCTTTCAACCATTATTAAATAGTAATTTTGGATCAAATTTCACAGTTCTCATGGTAGTTATAAAAGAAGTTTTATAGAGAAAAAATTGTGACTCAAATTTCATTTGAAGGAATCTCTGTATGCCAGCACATGTGGTATTTTTGGAAAGCCGGTACAGCCCAGATTGTCTTTCATTGAGAAATACAACAGGGTACAGAAAGTCCTGGTTTCTCTATTGCATGGCATAATTCTCCCTAGAAACTCAGACTTACAAGCAACTAGAGGAAATGTCTTCTTCTTTGCTTTCACATGCCAGAGAACTTGATCATTGCATATTTAGGAATAGCAATACTTTGGCTTTGCCAACTGCCTCTTCTGCCCTCCTGGGTCACTTAAAAGTGATTTTCTGTTCTCTCAGAAGGAGCAAGGGAAGTCCTTTCTTTCCTTAAAAGTCTCCATGTGACTTTGAAACAATCAGCTCCTCTGGACAAGGAGCTTTTTCCCTGTTGATGGTAGTTGGGGTTAGTGTCATCATTAAGTTTTTATTTTAGAAATGCCAGTCAAAGACAGAATTGACAGAACTGAGAGCAGTAGATGAGCCAGAGCTTAGTTCAGGGGGGATTTATGCAATTATGAGAAAATAAGAGCTACTGGAAGTTCAAAAATGGAAGGTGGGAAGATGAGACATGGGTTAGGGGGTGACTCTGGCATTTGGGAAGGATATCCACAAGTACAAGTTTAGAGGAGAGGAGAAGTTACAGTTGAGAAATTTGTTTATTTGGCAGGTCTCAAGATTAAATAAAACTAAGCGGAACAGGTACCAGGGATTGGTTAGGATTGGTTCACTATCTATAAATAATTTCAAATGGAATAATAAAAATTAGCCAGGATTATTTACTGTTGGTCAGATCTCTATCTCATGCACATTCACACACCACCCACCACGAACAGTAACAGCACTTAGCAATTTACAGTGATTACTAGGATGCTCTAGATACTTTAACTTATGGTTTAAAAATCTCAGCCAAAAATAGTACAGAGCCAGGTGCTGGTAGCTCATCCCTGCAATCCTAGCTACTGAGGAGGCTAAGATCTAAATATCATGGCTTGAAGCCAGTCAGGCAGACAAGTCCTAGAGACTTTAGCCAGCAAAAAACCAGAACTAAAGGTGTGGCTTACATAGTAGAGTGCCAGCTGTGAGCAGGAAAGTCAGCCAGCATGTGAGTCTTAAGCCACAGTACCATCACACACACACACACAGAGAGCCAGAGAGCGAGAGAGAGAGAGACAGAGACAAAGACAGAGAGAGAAATCACTATTCTTGAGGGAAAATGATATTTTTAAAATATTTGGTAGTTTAGTAGTTTTTACAGTTTAGTAGTTGTTTAGTAGTTTTTACAGTTTAGTAATTTAGTAGTTTTTACAGTTCTTATTGAAAAGAGAAATGTTAAATGAATAAGCCAAAGACTTCATTTAAACCAACACAGTTTCAAGTTCTTCATATTATAAACCATATTTTTTCCAAACCAAGCAGGAGAAAACAGTAGGAGTCATTTCAATGTGGTCTCCTTTTCCTTATCTTAAATTGTAACAATCAGTTACCTATGAGTAAACATGTGCAGAGCTGAGAATGAATAAAGAGAGATCTAGAGTATTAAACTAAGGATAAACAAGAAATAAAACATTCTTGCTCAACATTCTAGCTAATGGTTAAGTGCAACATTTCACAGACATATTTGACATACAAGTTTTTTTTATTTTTTTATTTAAGTTGTTATTGCTATCATAAAGGTGATATTCAGAGGGGTTACAGTTACATAAGTCAGGTAAAGAGTATATTTCGTTTTGGACAATGTCTCCCTTCCCCTAGCTCTCTACCAGTTTTCCCCTCCCACAACCCCCCTCCAGTTGTATGTTCATCTTCAACATGGTGTCCAGTGAGTGCCATTGCTGAATTTGTCCACTCTTTGTCCCTCCATATCTATGTTCATGTGTTGTTGGGTTTTTTTGAATGTAGCCCAAGTTGATCTCAAACCCATAATCCTCCTAAGTGCTGGGATTTACAGGTGTGTGCAGCCACACCCAGAAGATCAATTATTATTTTGATGTATTTACCTTGCTAGTAATATGAGCTCTTTAAATAAACATCTGACACTTCACAAGTGGTAACAAAGCAAAAACTGGGTTGCCTCCAACTAAGTCACTGATAGGTCAATAAATCCAGGTGAAACATCACCTTGGACACTGAGCCTCTACCTAGATAGCAGGTGCTTTCTTATCATAGAGACTGGACCAGAGGCCCTGCCCTTACCTGGTTGCAGGTGTTGATGTCGATCCCACCCTTCAGGTATTCCACAACCTTGTCCAGGTTGCCCGCACGGGCAGCACGAAGGAAACTTGCATTGCTGTCAGACTGGGAGGAAAAAAATGTTGGTGAATTATTGATAAAATAAAAATATGTCAAATGCAGAAAAGCAAGCATGTGTATACTGCAAGTCAGAAAAGCTTAAGTTGGAAACATTTTCAATACTGATTGCAAAACATTGAATAGCATGCACAGTATAAGGCAGCAACCTTCAATTTATCAGAGTGGGTTATTGGTGAATATTGAAATTAGTGGGAAATGTACATCCAAAACCATTCACCTCCTCAGCCAATTTGAAGATGTATTCATTCTGTCCAGAATACCACCATAAGCCATATGGTTTAGTGACTCACACACTGCTGTAAAATTTAAGCTACTCTTTTCTGTATTACTGTCAGTTTTCAGATAAGTTGGCAGGAAAACACTGAGTTTGAGAACCTCATCAGTCCCCTGTCCTGGTTGTCAGAGAACAGGTGGTTTTGAAGAAAAGGGAAAAGCCAGTTGACAGGTATGGCTGATGAAAACTGTGGTTTTAAAAAAAAAAGATTTTGAAAAAAAGAGATGATTAAATTTAGACCATCTGAGCCACATGCTGGTGGCTCATGCCTGTAATCCTAGCTATTCAGAAGGCGGAGATCTTAGGATCATGGTTCAAAGCCAGCCCAGGCAGGGAAGTCTGTGAGACTCTTATCTCCAATTAACCACCAGAAAACTGGAAGTGGCACTGAGGCTCAAAGTGGTAGAGTGCTAACCTTGAGCACAATAGCTCAGGGACAGTGCCCAAGCCCTGAGTGTAAGCCCTATATCTGACACACAAAAAAAATTAGACCTGCTGACACAATACTAGCTAAAACTTTTGGTGAAGTTGATCGCTGTAGGTATTATGTTGCTTTTTTTCCTGTTGATATCAGGATTTGAACTCTGATCTTTATATTTCCTCATTTTATTCTTGAGCCACACTTATGTGTTTGTGTGTGTGTGTGTGTGTGTGTGTGTGTGTGTGTGTGTGTTCTGTGTCTTGAGGTCAAGGCTTCACGCTTGCTTGGTTTTCTTGCTCATGACTGGTCTTCTACCAATTGAGCCATGCTTCAGCCCATCATTTTTGGGGAGGGAGGAGGTCTGGTTGTGGAGCCTGAACTCTGGGCCTGGGCGCTGTCCCTCAGCTCTTCAGCTCAAGGCTAGCGCTCTACCACTTGAGCCACAGCACCACTTCCAGCTTTTTTTTTCTTTTTGCTTATGTGGTGCTGAGGAATCGAACCCAGGGCCTCATGTATGCAAGGCAAGTGCTCTACCTTCCCAGCCACCTTCCCAGCCCCAGCCCATCTTTTTATTAGTTAGTAGGAAGTGGAGTCTTACAGACTTTTCTACCCAGGCTAGCTTCAAACAATGATCCTTTAGTTCTCAACTTCCTGAGTAGCCAGGATTACAGGAATGATCTACCAGCATCCAGCAAAGATTGCTTTTTAAGTTTCTCATTTTACCTTACTATACAAAAAAGTCCAATCTTAGGAGAGTCAGTTGATTCTCCTTATGAAAAAAACCAAGAAGAGAGTTGCCACAGAGATACAGAAACAATAACACTGCCCTTCCGTTAGGTTACAAAGTCTGCATTTTGCCAGGCACCAGTGACTCATGCCAGTAATCCTAGCTACTCAGGAAGCTGAGATGTAAGGACTGTAGTTCGAAGCCTGCAGGAAAGCTTGTGAGACTCTTATTTCCAATTAATCACAGAAAAAGCCAGAAGTAGAGCTGTGGCTTAAGTGGTAGAGCACTAGACTTGAGCCAAAGAAGTTCAAGGACAGTGCCTAAGCCCTGAGTTCAAGTCCCAGGACCAGTACCAAAAAACAAAAAAGACCACATTTCAAACCTTGACATAATAATGATAATAAAATTTCAAGGATCCGAACATTTGCATAACTGTGGGTAATTTTTCTGTCTTTTATCTTCTTCCCGTTATTTTCATTTTTATGTTTTTATTTTTGAAAAGGTAGTAAGTAGGGGGAGTTATAGTTACATAAGTAAGGGGATGCGTACATTTGTTTTTAATCATTGTTACCCCATCCCTCATTATCTCCCACTCACCATTTGCTATTTCCCTCCCTCCCAGGTTATAAGGCTCTTATCATAATTATGGGTAATTTTTTGATACAATATCTGACCAAAGAGGAAAGGAGAGCTAGAAGAAGAATATAATATCTAAGTTATTAAATATAACATCTAAATCTTTGGATACATAATGTCTGCTGTTAGAGGTGCAATATCTAAGTCACAAGAAATAATATCAAAGTTATTAGCTATATGATATCAAAGTCATTAGATACACGATGTCTAAGTCATTAGATGTACAATATCTGTATTATTCAATATCTGGAAATACAGTCCAAATCTTATGCTTCTCAAAGGAACATTCATGTCATGCGGCTCCGCTGCCTTCCTGCCCCAAGGGTCTTGGCAGGGAGTCTTAGCATCCTGGGTCACAACCATTTTTTAATGGTTTCTGGTGACACTGATAGAAAAATGCAAATAGTTTCTCTGTGAGTTTCAAAATGTGAGCATTTGCATATTGTTTGAATGATTTACCTAAGGGAAAAGATGTGGGTGGCTGGGGGGAACCCTTTAGGATTAAATTCCCTCCCACTGAACTCAAATACCACAAGGACATTTATCTTGATAAGTCAGTGTCATCATTTATCATGACATAAAGTGGTATGGCTGGAGTCTATACCTCGAGAATTCCCACTCTGATTCTCTAGAAACGTATCGTGGTATGATGGATATGCTGTGAGCTCCTGTCCCCGCTCCCCCCTACAATCATCCTGGAAGATGCGCTTGTGGCAGAGTGTTCTGACACCATCGCAATGTCGCACTCCCTGTCCTGGGACTCCTTCCGAATGCTGAGACTCTGCAATTATTCTGCTGCTTTCAGCATGGGCTGAACTCCAGAAGGTTATGCCTCTCTTAGGTTTCCAACCACAGCTCTCGCCAAACATTCGCACTGTAAGGTACCAATGTGTCACAAGACATCCTTAGCCTGACTACTGTGAGACAAGAAAAATTAAATCATGTGGGTCACAAGGCATAAAACATGATGCTATCATACCTCTATAAACATGGCCCGTCCAAATAAAGCTGTGTTCTATCGATCACATTAAACATTGTTCCTGGAAAGTGCAGGTGATGTTTATATTTATTCTTGTACTGCGAGTTGAGCTAAAGGCGTTCCATGTACAAGGACATTAGTGCTAAATTGTGTGAGGAAGGAACTATCATTTTTAATTCCTTATTATCTGTAAGTAGTGTCAGTTTGTGAATGCAGTGCATCTTGATCAAGACTGCCACTTTCATCCTTCACCCTCATGTCTCCCAACCTCACCCACCCCCTCAATTAGGAACTGTTGTAATATTAATTTAGTAAATGAAAAGGAGGGGTGTGTTAGAAATTTTCCAAGCTTGCACATTCATTCAGATTCAAGATTTAATTTATGTTTAATCAAGCTCAGAGTTGGAAGTATAGGCCATTCTATCCCCACACTGGACCAATGTTTCTCCAGATGCCAAATTCTTGAGCTTTCAATTTATTTCACATGGGATGAACACAGAGGTGACCTTGCTCGACATAGTAAATCTGGAAACAATGAGCCCGGTACACAGAGTGCCTTGGCTGAAGAAGGAATCCTTAGCTGCCATCTTTACCCATCTGTGCAGCTAGCAGAATTAGGAGCTGACTGGGACAAACTTCTTAGAAACATGTTCATTTGGGAATGAGGGGGAAAAATAGCAAAGTGCATACAGCATTAAAAAGCCAAGTGACTGACTCTTTCTCTCGTTCTGACTCTCTCTCCTCTCTGCATGATTAATACATCCAAACTCAGTAAAAGATCTAATGCTCTATTTTTTCTATTTTTTTTAAAAAAAGAAGAAGAATGTCAGCCAGGCACAGGTGACTCACACCTGTAATCCTAGCTGCTTAGGAGGCTGAAATCTGAGGATCGAGGTTTAAAGCCAGCTGGGGCAAGAAAGTCCATGAGACTCTCCAATTAACCCCAAGAAAACCAGAAGTGATGCTGTGGTTCAAATGTTAGAATGCTAGCCTTGAGAAAAAGTGCTTAGGGACAGCGCCCAAGCCTAAGTTCAAGGCCCACAACTGACAAAAGTAAAAAAGAACATCATGAACAAATAGACCAGAAGGAGACATCAACCTCAAAGAGGGAAACACACAGCTGTTGAAGCCTAGAAAGGGAGAGCATGGTCAGCAGTTACTGCAGAGACTGAGTCCAACATCGGGCATGACCTTCAGGGGTAACTGCTTTTGAAATCAATTAGATAAGCAGCTTTCATAACTTGCTTTGTCTCTCCTTGAATCAAACTTTTTAGTTTTTTATTATTATTTTCAAGCAGTCATACAAAGGAGTTGCCAATTAACAAGGCAGTGTATAATATAATATATCTTGATCAATGTCACCCCTTCCAAGATTCTCACTCATCCACCCCCTACCTAACGCTTTCTTTTCTTAATTTTGTAGGATATACATTGGATTCTTGCCTTCATTTCCCTCTCTTCTCCTCTTCATTCTAGTCTAATCTAGTTAAGTGAAAACACCCCTTTCCAGTAGCCCTTTGATTTTGTCTTTCTAAGGATTTGCACTGTTGGAGATCTCACTAGAATCTACTCTGTTTCAGTTCATACATTTGTAAATACTTGCATACGAGCCACCATATTTACTTATGAGTTTGTAAAATAGTGTGGAGGTTCTTCACAAAATTAAACATAAAACTACCCTATGATCCAGCAATTCCACTCCTGGGCATTTGCCCAAAAGATTACAAAGCAGGATATAGTAAAGCCACCAGCACAACCTTGTTTACTACCACACTATTCATCATAGCCAAGGTAGGGAATCAGCCCAGATACCTCTCAATGGACAAATGGATTGAGAAAACACAATGAAACCTTACTCATCTATTAGAAATAATGACATTGTACCATTTAAAAGAAATTAATGACACTTTAAAAAATGAAATACCCAAATGATTCCCTGGAATTTCAG